CGCCCATCGGCAGCATGCTCAAACCAGTCACCGGTAACATAACCTCGTCTTCGGCCACTCTGACCACTCCGAATCAAGTGCCTCTTCAGAGACAATTTGGGGGGTGAGTTTGCCTAACATACACTTTATTCGACTATTTGGTATTGATATCCACGATGATGCAATTGCGCCCCTGTTTCCTAATCTCATGATAATTAATTCTGCGTCTTCTGAGTTAGCTAAGAAGGTATGTAGTGGCATATAGACAGGACGGATGTATTAGTCATTCAGTCGCCCCATGGTTAAGAAGCGTATTACATTTGAGGTCGGAGTTGTATTCTACGCAGAATCGGCTACGTGGCTACGAGTAATGATGGTTGCATAGGAGTGACGTCTGGTGCTCGATATACCCTGGCTGTATTGAGGAATTAGATCGGATGCAGTCAGCCCTGCAACGCCACTGGATTACTTCGCAGATGGTTATATGGGGTAGGATGTAGGAGTAAGCATTATCCGCGGAATGTGAACGACCAAGACGACCAGTCCTGTCGTATTGCCAGTCATCAGCCTGTCGTGGACCAGGTAGTGGCCCTGGTGTCCCCGAACGTCTGTGGCCGAGTTATTTGTTGATCGTGCGTTTGAGTCAACCAGTCTGTCATTTGGGCTGCTGACACTTGCCACGAGGTCAAGACACGGAAAGTGTTCAGACCGATCCCTTATCGGCCGACCGAGTGTTCTTTGATCGGGGGTTCCTTCTGTATCTTCGCTCAGTGAAAGTCTTGCGTGTCCCCTAAAATGCTCTTTGGCGTAGCAAACTTTTTGCATGACTGATGAAATTGGGTTACATTTCCGACATTACTAATAGCGCCTTCTTTAATTTGAACAATGACAGTGTGCCACATGGCAGACAGCACGCAATCTCAAACGCCACTCCTTCGACGTCTTATGCCACCACATCGGCGGCTTGGACATCACTTTCCGCAAGGTATGTCGACCTTCTTTACGATGCCTGCCGTATTTCTTTTTCTCTACTGTTGATTGTTTTGAGGCACTAAGTGCATTTTAGACGCCGCCATACCCAGACACTATCAGACTCATACCGACGGGAGAGTCTGCACCTAAGTAATGAGGGACAGATAAGGCCGCTGCACTCCGCATTTCGTCACCTCTTTTGAGCGGAGAAGAGCAGTGCTGCTTGCATTCTCATGACAGTTCACATGGGTCCGACTTGCTGTAGTGCAGGTTGTGTTGTGTTGAGGTATAGGGACAAACACGGGCTGCCTTCAAAGTCTCATTAATTCATCTTTACCTATAAATCCACCAATTCAGTCGGCTGACCGGGAAGTTGGGCTGAGGGAAAGTTCGATTTTTTGTAGGGCACGAAGTCAGAGAAGGGTTAGAGTTAGTGCTCGGACCACGTTAGGGTTAATATTTGACTTAGGGTTACGGTTTAGGATGCAGTTTTAGGGCCAGTGTTTAGGGTAAGGTTTAACGGTTAGGGTTAAGTTTTAGGGTTAACGGTTAGGTTTAGCTTTGAAATAATAACTAGAATTAGGATTAGGCCTGATGCGTTGCACTTTCGAGATCACTAACAGCACCTGCTTTACTTTGAACAGCGACTACTCGCCATATTCCAGAATAGGCGGGGTCTCGAGCATGACACGTTCGACGTCTACGACCACCACCTAAGTAGTCATGCTTCAAGGTGTGGTTTTTGCAGGCGGGTGGAAAGAAGTCCTTTCAAAAGCCGGCATCATAACCTGACAGAAATATCTTGGAATTGTGCTGCTCGGTAATTAAAATAACAAGCCTACTTATGTAATCTTTTCGAGCCGAAAACGCATTTGAGAATCTCGGTTAACTTTTCACGAGTTAGAACATCTACTATACTTCAACATCTAAAGAGAACCTACCGTAAAAGCTGACGCAGACTATCTGTAGTCATGGAGAGTGCTTTAATGGGAAGTCGAGGTCTTAGTTGATTGTCACTATTAAGCTATGTCGCCTCAATACTTTGCATTACCAGTGCTCGTATTGTGTTATAAAGTAGAATGAGTCATTCGTAGTACTTCGAGTCCAGTCAGTTACGTTGCCCTTTGTGCCATTATTACAACTCGATCTCCAACGTCGTGTTTTTGCATCAGACGGGTCCCACGTACAGTAGTCGACGGCTATCTTGAACAGTATTTGAACAATGGGCAACTGCATATATGACGGAACAACAGAGTAAATACCACGCTATTCATTGCAGGGGAAGCCAGTTGCGATATAGAGCGCACACAGACTGCAAGGTTATTAGGCAAACCGAATTGAATGCGGCCTGCCACGTCACTGCATTGCTCCGTAGATGGCCATATGGGGCTACAGGTGGATGAGTAAGTCCAGCTGTCTGCCATTTGAGCCGCTGACAGCTGCCATGACGATGCCCCAGTGCTTCAAAGTCAGTTGCTGGTGATGACGTGAAAATTAGTGGCAGCTTTTAATTACGCTGTCCGGGTTTTTTGACGTCTCATTGCCTTCGTACTATCATTAATTTCAGTAGGCGGTTTGCATTTATACATTTTATTATTTGCTTAGTTTTCTCGGATGTGCTGATGGGAAGTTGGGTTTTTTGTAGGGCTCGAAGTCATAGAAGGATTAGATTTAGTGCTTGGACTACGTTGGGGTTAATAGTTGACTTAGGGTTACGGTTTAGGGTGAAGTTGTAGGGCCAGGGTTTAGGGTAAGGCTTAACGGTTAGGGTTAAGACTTAGGGTTAACGTTTAGGTTTAGCTTTGGAATAATAACTAGGATAATGGTTAGGCTTGATGGGTTGCATTTCCGAGATCACTAATAGCACCTGCTTTACTTTGAACAGCGACTACTCGCCATATTCCAGAATAGGCGCGGTCTCGAGCATGACACGTTCGACGTCTACGACCACCACCCCGACAGCTAGGACATCAGGTTTCGCAAGGTACGTCGACCTTCTTTTCGATGCCTCTCGCATTTTTTTCTGCACTGTTTATTGATTTGGGGTGGAAGTGTATTTTAGACACTGTCCAACCCCGACAGCATCTGCCATTACAGCGGTGGGGAACCCGTACCTAAGTCATGAAGAACAGATAAGGCTACGCCCATCCGCATTTCGTCACCTCTTTTGTGCGGAGAAGAGCAATGCTGCTAGCCTCGTCGTGAGAGTTCACAGGGGTCCAACTCACCGCAGTGCAGGTTGTGTTGGGTTGAAGTATAGGGACAGCTAAGAGCTGCCTTCACGTACTCATGCATTCTCCTCCACCTGTAAATCTATCGAATTTGCCGCATGACTGGGGATATAATGTGATTTGCCACAGTGTACGGTGGGTGGTGAGGACACATGCTTGGCCAGGATAACTGGTGTAAGACATGTCGTCGAAGAGTTCAACTCTTATTTTGACCGATTTTGAACAAACTACAAGGGCTCCTGCTTCGTAGTTGGTACGTCCGGGTGAGCGGAGAAGTCCATAATATTCGTCAGTACCCCATTAAATATCTGGCCTTTTTCGGGTCTGCTTTGATTTCTATGCGACATTAACTAGCAACCCTTAGCATGCCTCTGACGTCGGCGTTACAGTGTTTGGTTTGCAGCCCGGCATCCTTGCATATTTACTCAGGATATCTGTAAGGGTGGCGAAAGCATCCTATTCTCCTGTGTAATGGGAATCCGTTTTATTTGCAGCTTTTCTGTGTACTAAAGAGGAATTGTTTGGCTGCGAGAAGTTTGCCGAAGCCTTTCTTCTTTTAATTGCCGCTTGCATTCTCCACTGCACCTTAGGCCTTACAAACTGTACGCGTGCTGCATATGCCATTCGGCACGATTTCAAAATCCATGACATACCATGTAGCCTTCGTGAAAGTAGACTTCCAGGATTGACAAAAATAGACATGCTCAGATTTCGTTGGGAATGTTCAAAGTAAGACCCAAATGTGATTAAACTGGTGTCGTCCGGCGGGGGGGCTCGTTGCTCAAGTGGTTAGAGCGTTGGCTGTACCAAAGCCTTCCCCTTACTGCGCGGGTTCTAATCCCACCGATGTGCCGAGTTTTTCACAGTTGGGTCAAGATGAATTATCGTCTATATAGATGCGAATTCAGCTTCTACAGACACTGCCCGCTCACCCATTTCCCCCATCAGTTTGGCTGGCTGGGGATGGGCTTGAATGCTGTGGCTAACACAAGCAACAAACAGGAATGGCAATAGCTGAGCACACACGCAGGCCGCCCAGGGAACCTCATTTTTTATCAAAGATAATCGACTGACTAGGTCATTAGTCTGACATAGTGTTTTAAATCAGGCTCAAGATGAGGGTTGGATCAGATCCCGCCCAGATCGTACCTGAGAGAATACTTGTGCCGAAGCAAGCACTCAAACTCTGTCGATAAATTTTGGTGGAAATTAAAAGGTGCAACGTCCACTACTTGGGTAAATGCCATATCGCAAGAAGAATGTTCAATTTATTCGGTATAGAAGATAGGCAAGGCCTTTAAAAACACTATTGATTACATAGGGGTGCGTTATACACAACTGTACATTGACAATGAAATCTGTCGCTATTAAAATGGTACTTTCATGATTTAAGTAAGATTGTTTTTACAGATAAACGTTTTGGGGTTCATAAGGTATTCTGCTCAGGTTCTGACTGCTGAGGGAAAACAGGGGTCACAAGTAATCATGCACGCGTTTCTTGAAGAGCTGCACGGATCCCGTCTCCAGGACTGATTTTGGAAGATCATTCCATTTCTCCACTAGCATTTGTCTAAAAAAATTCAGAGCAGAGGTCCAGCCTGGACATTTTTGTGCGCAGCCTCATCGATTGGCCACGAAGACTAGGCGAGAGGTGCCACTGAAACATGTCCTCAAAGCTCAGTCTGTGCGCAAAGCTGTGTATTGTCTTGTAAGCCAGAACAGGATTACCTTTTTGTTGACTGGAACACAGAGGGAATAAATCAAGGCAGTTCGGTCTTTCTGTTTCAGATTGGCTTCTTAAACCCTCTAGCAGTTTTGTTGTACGGAGTTGTACTTTTTTGAGGCATGTTTGGTCCTTTGCTAGCCATAGCCTCCACGCTTGTATGTCATATTCTAGATGAGGACGAAAAAAGTGCCGTAAATCCTTCCAAAAAGGTCTTTGTCAAAGGTTACAAACATTCTTTTTATCGCATGGAGTACTCCCATGGCGTTTTTTACACCCTTGGCGCACTGCAGTGCTGATTTCATTTTTATCTGTATCCAAACACCGGGATCCTTCTGTGATTCTTCTGTACACTGAAATCCAGTGGCCATTTCTCGGACTATATTTGCAGTCAATGCAGATTATCTTAAAGGGATTTCTGGTCATTCGGACTCATAACGATTTACCAGAACTTAATGTCGTTGGTGAACATTATTTCGCCGCAGTCGGGTTCTTAAAGGCTGTCATTAACATAAAGGATGAGCCGTAAGGGTTCGAGAACTGGGCCTTGAGCGCACCACTAGTCACGTTCACCCAATCTGACATATCGTCTCCGATACTGTCACGCTGTTTCTGACCTACCAGAATGGTCCTTATCCAGTTCAGATCTGTAGCAGCTGTGATCTCAAATCCTTGACCGCCACAGATCTCCCGTGATTCCGAGGGCGCTTAATTTATGAAGAAGGCATTGGTACGGGACAGTGTCGCATGCTTTGCGGAAATCGGTGTACATGATATCGACCTCAAAACCCTCTTCTAAAGCCTTGGTCCAGACCTCTAGGAAAGTCAGCAGATTTGAGAGGTAGGAACGTCCGCTCCGGCAGTCATGCTGAAAATTCTGTAAGATGTTTCCCTCACAGTATTGCTGTATAGCGTTCTTTTCTAGGACTTCCATCGTTTTTCATGGGAGGCAAGTCAAGTTAATGGGCCTGAAGCTGCCTGTTGTCATCCTGCTATCTTCCTCCTGTAAGGGAACAAGATTAACTGTCATTCACTGCGAGGGCAGCCTCCCTGTTCTCATTGACAGCTCAAAGAGAATTGAGCGAGGCCTTGCCAGCTCCGTTGATAGTTCCTTAAGTATCAGCCTTGGAAGTCCGTTGTGTTCAGGCAACCTGCCTGGCTTTACGCCTTAAGTCTTCAACGGAAAAGACGACGGTTTCATTGACGACAGTATCTTGACCCATTTGAAATTCCTGTCTGTCTTGGTCCATCTCAAACTCCTGATTGTCTTCAGAGGACTCCACCGTAAGAACCGATCGAAAAAACCGAGACAGTAATTCTACTTTCTGTGGCGCTTCAACTAAAAAGTTTCCGAGGTTATCCTTTAGACACGATTTCAACCCTGTGTTTTCTTCTACTGCGTATGTACCCATAAAATTTCTTGGGACATCAAATGGATTCGGTTGTCCGCCGGCGCTCGAAGAAGTGCTAACAACCCGTATTTGTTTGCGACATTCATTACGTTGCTCCTTATATTCGGCGAATGCTATGGGATCTTGAGGATGCGAATACATTTTACACAGTCTCCGTTTCTTCTTCATGACTTTTTTGTGTCCTCGGAGTGACCCACGGTGTTCGCGCACATGGTCTCATTATTTTCATTGAAAAATGGGATTCAATTGGATGGTCTATAATCCTGCGAAAGTATTCCCGGAAATCTTCTGAATCTTCCATGTTGACTGACTAGTGTCCCGCCGAAACAGCCGTTATTGCCGTTGCGGTTACTTTGGTGGTTTCCGACTCGCGTTTACCACGCGCTCAATCTATGGAAGCCATACCTTTTCACATAGTGTTTACGGCAATTGTTAAATAAATGCATAACATTACTTCCTCCACAAAAGCCACACAAACAAACGCGTATATTAAGTATTATTGATATGGGTGAAGATTCGAGGTCCAGATATTGTATCGCGTTTTATTTACTCTTTTAGCCACGCGCGGTTGAATAAACGGAAGTATGGCATAGAGGACAGTCCCAACGGCTCATGCCAGATACTGTGAACAAGGTTGGTTTACATGTAAGTAGACTACGCCCGTCCTCATTGTTTTTTTATTTCAGTTCTAATTAAACAGTTATTTTTTTGGTTGAGGGGCGCTCACCGATTGTTTTTACGGAACTCACTCGTCCCGTTGTGACTTACGGGCTCTCCCTCGAGACCAAACATCAGCCGCACATTATAGTGCCGCATTATATTGACAGAATGTTTTAGCGACAAATTCACTTTGACACAACTGTGTAAAACTCGGTGCCTCGGTAGGAGTCGAACCCACAACAGCAAGGGGGGAGGTTTTAGTACAGCCAAAGCTCTTACCACTTGAGCTACGAGGTATCACCGGACTACGCGAGTTTAATCACGTTTGGGTCAAGTTTACCCGCCCAACTTACTGCAACGTCTGGAATCCACCAAATCTGATGCAGCAAGCTGACCGCCCAAGCAGGATTTCCTAAGTAATGCATATAGAATCCACCAGATCCCTATCAGGCTCACGCAATTCATAGACAAACATAGGGGAGACTGGAATGGCCACTTGTGGCTTATTAGCCGTCATCAGCTAGTCTTACCTAACCTCGAAGTTATGAACACCCAGGGCTCGATCCCGCGACCTGTTAGTTAAAAGTCCAACACCTATAACTACTGAGCCGCGGGCTCTTTATCCTGTCAGTTATTTTTCCCAAAAAGTTTAATTGGGACGCCTGAGGTCTGCTGGACACAAACAGCCTTCTGGCCTTGTTCGGGGTCCCTTCTCACACCATCTCAAAAGTTTTGGGAATTCCGTATCAGGAAGTTAATGTTTCTGGCACTGAAAACACGACACACCTTCGCATCCCATCTTATCGTTCCGAGCCTGAATACGATTTGCGCCTCCACCCTAATTATAAAAACAGCTATCGCCAAGTCTGATCATGAATATGCACATACAGATTTGATCGTTAGAAAAACGAAAAAGCGAAAGGAGCACTTGTACTGGCCCTACTCCGAGTGCCTGACTCAACACTGCGACTCTCGCGAGTGTCTGCGCGGGCACACCATGGCTGTCTGGCATTTGCCCACTCGGCTTTCAACCGATCAATCAGATTCAAGGTCGAGTCAGACGTGGCCTATCTTAAAACGCTTTGACGCATTACGTTATTACCGACCAAGACAAAAGAGACTGGAATGGCCATTTCTGGCTTAATAGCCGTCGTCAGCCAGTCATACCCAACCCCGAAGTGTGGCACACCCGGGGCTCGAACTCGCGACCTGTCAGTTAGAAGTTTAACATCCCTACTCACTGAGCCACGGGCTAGTTGTCCCGTCGGTTTCGATCGGGAATATACAATGGTGGGTGGGCTTTGACGCATTCCCTGGCGGACACTTGGGGACGCCGCTCTCCCGGCGCTGGGTGTGTCCCGCCTCGCTGCTAAATTTCTCCAAAATCTCTTCCGGTTATTCTGTGCAGAATAAACATTTCTCCCAACTGGCGTCCAACTTCTCTTTCCACTCGGGACCAGGGTCTCACTCTCGGTCTACGCTTCAGCGATAGAGTCTGTTAACCGTGTTGTGCATCCGTTGGACGCGCTTGTCCTCATCCCGAATTCGCCTGACTTGAACTTACCTTGAGGATGCATGAGGAGAGCGAGGGAGTGTGGAGCAGCAGTGGAACAACACTTCCGACGCCCAGGCTCCTCGCACATTTTGGCAGTCACAACACACAGCCAGTATTCTCAATGAATGAGAGCCGGTCAGAAGTGCCTTCCTCTAAATTTTACAGTCATAGCACTTGCCAATAGAAGCGAAAAGACGAGTCCTAGGAAGCAGTCTTGAAGAAGGAGACACGATCGCTGGGACAAGAGCTTTATTAGCTTGACGTTTCGGATTCCTGAGGTGACAACCGCGTGAGCCGGGAGCTGCTTGATTCATGGTTTGCTGGCTCCTAGTTAATTCTCAAGTGCAATGATCTTCCCATTCCATACTCGGTGCTGAGACTTCGCCTAGGCGGAGTAAGTAGTCGTGCGGGAAGCGCACAGATGGACACCGTTTCCAACGCCAGGGTCGGTAGATCAGATGGTCGAGCAATCATCACACCAACATCCAACGCACGTGATGAAATTGCAGGAATTAGCGATGCGAATGTCGGCTATCACACCACGTGCAACGATCACTGATGAAGGGCGGGGCCGTGAATATTCATAGGTATGCGGTAGCATGGCTACTGCATCCCCTTATGCATGAACCAGCCGTATCTGTTTTTGTCTCTGATGATGGGTTTGAGCAGGAATCCGAAACGTCATAAAGCTCTTGTCCCAGCGATCGTGTCTCCTTCTTTAAGTCATAACACTTGCATTTGTGTCAGATCCGATACAGTACAGTCAACTTTGGGCGCGTTTGGAGACTGGCACGTGCATGGCGGGTGCAAACATGGTCTTGATTTCGTAAACCACTGAACGCTTATCAGCACTGCCGAAGTCAATGTTTTTATTTGCAATTATTAGCTTTGATATTAGTCAACATTTGCAAGTGCCGCCCAGTGCATGTGGTAGCACGGTTTTGATTTCTGCACCAGAGCCGTTTTGTCGGATGCGAAGTCGGCGCAGTCAGAGATCAGTAAATTATTTACACGTCAAAAATAGGCCTCCCCAATGAAATGCAATCTATTGTCGAGGGGGGGGTTAAGTCAGCACTCCGTGCACAAAGTTGCCAGTTTAATCATCTTCCCCTTTAAACGTTTTATTAACTTTTTTAGGTCTCCTGACAACAGAGGATGCACCTGGTGGCTGTGTTTAAAGGCGCAATGGTGTCAAGGCTGTTTTAAATCGTTCGCGCTGTTTTCCCGCAATTTAGTATCTCATGTGAACGCTTTTCTGTTGCAATTCTCATGCGAAATATCAAATACAAAATTTCAAACACGCTTCCATATTTGAGATGGGGATGCAAAAAGATATCTAAGCGAGTTATTTTTTTGCTTGCTTGTTCTTGGGTCCTGTTTGACAAAGAAATCGAACTGCATAATTGCGTCAACACATTCTACATGATAGACGCAGTGGGCCACACCCTCACGCTCGAACTCCCAAGACTGACTTTTTGTATCAGCAATGCCCTCAAGATCTACAACTGTCTGGAAAGTCCTCGGATCAACAGGGCTTATTTCAATTGTGAAGCAGCTACGTCTGCACATAGTGTTTTAGCATCTGCAGCTGCCCACAGGTCACTGCTGTCGTTCAGTTTTGTAAAATACGCGATATTTCCAGTTGTTTCAGTTGTCTGTGCTTCCAGTCGATCACTCCCAAGTTCTACCATAGCCAGGCCTTTCGAAAAGTGTTGTAATCACCCTCGACTACTGAGGGCTGAGTGCCGGTTCGTCTGGGAGAAACGGTGACTTCTTGTATGATTAACCGCGCCGACTGGCCTCTGGCCACCTCCCCTCCTTACTTCTTGGTGTAAAATCCATGTCAGGAGTGCGTTGCTTTACGTTGACTCCGAGGTGACTAGACGCATCACCTGTTACACGCATATGAACCTCGACCGTCGGTCCCAATGAGCATCAGGTGTCAATCACTCCTGATTCGGCCGTCTGCTGTTGTCCACGACATTCCTTGCGTTGGTTGCTCCTGTATTTATGCAAGTCAAACGGAAATAATAAAGACCAGGACACACACTTTATCTTTTTTTCTAGTGACTACTTACGCTCACACAATTTGTGGCGTAAATATAATTGAGCAGATGTGGGGCGTAACTGTGGTCGTGAATTCTCCCACAGTCACCTCGAGCTACTCGTGTTGACATTTGCGGGACCAAGATCGACTACTGTCCCGTGGTCAGTGTCAAATGCTCTGCCTTCAACATCACATGAATGAATGCATTCATGTGATGCCTAAGATGGTGAAAGATTTTAATTGTTACTTTCTATTTGTTAGTAAACAGAGCAAATCCGACTGCGTTTGTCACGGCCAAATACAGACTTTTATCATTTCGTTTGGAAAAAAATGCACTTTGAAACTTGCTGGCGTTTCAAACAATGCGTGCCGAACGATAAACATCCAAAAGGAGGTAGATAGACAGCGCTCTGTTAAGTAAAACAACTTGGATCGAAGATCTCAGAGGCCAGTGTACATAACACAGCCTACATATTTAAACAGTCCACCAATCTGCTTGCTTTCCCTGTCCGGAGTTTGACCCCTTCATAAAGACCATGTACTTATTAAATGGAGCTGGCACAAGGCAGAGCTTCACACGTCGGCACATACGTAAGTAAGTCGGGAAGAAAGTGAAGATTGCGTTACATAAGCATGGCATCAAAGTTGTCTCTTTTAAATACAGTGTGTGACCTATCTCATGAGACCTGATGACGAATACTGATGGAAGAATTTTCGGGTGTTTTGAAGGTTCCACATTTTACTTGCCCATTCAGCTTCTTCAAGGAATTGTCCTCTTCTTGTGCAGAAATTGTCTCCATGTAATTTTTCGAGCAAAATGTTCATAAATTTGAGCTAAAATGGACATCGCGATATACTCGGGCGGTATCGCATGATAATACCTGTCCTAGACTTCCGTTGCGCTTCTGCGAGGGTTTTTCTTTACAAGGAGGTTAATTTCTTCTGGAGAATTTTAATAAGCAGAGGTTGCCGGACTTTAAAATTTATAGATTTTTAGAAATCGGTTTAGCAAATCTGTATGATTTAGTACCCTGACGTGCAATAATAAGGCCCACAGGCAATCCACCGTTTAATTTGGCTGAAATTAGTTCGCGAATATCCATTTTCAGTTTTGAACCTATGGAACATTACTTTTAGTGTAATATAGCCTTTCCACATACCTCATTCAAAAATGAAACGAACAAGACATTAACAACTCCAGCAAAATATCACTATTCATATGGCTACCCTGCCGTGGATTCATAATCGTATAACGGAGTCTAAAAGTGGGCAAAACAGTGCGAATGGCCGCAATACGAATAAAAACGTATGTTCTTACATTTACGATGGAAAAGTACCAGTGCAATTTAGAAAAGTGAAAAAAGCAGTCAAAAGCGACAAATGTTTTTCTAACCCCAGCGTGCAAAAAGCAAAGTACACAGAAATTAGCCAACTAAGTGCGGTATTAAACACTTTGGAGACATAACTTATTAGAGACAGTTTTCTTATAGATCGAAGGCATATTCATTGTTGAATTTCGTTCTGGACGTTCATTTTATTAGACGATGAAGTTTCCTGTTTGAGTAGGCCTTCATATGTGACCTCAAAGACCTTCTACATGAGAAAGAACACCCAAGCACTCGTTACCTTGGCAAATGCCTCCAAGAAGTACCTAATCTTGAGGTTTTTAACGGACACATAAAAAGAATCTGTCTTTATTGGCTTTCGACGGAAAACACTGAAAATCACGAGCTATTCAGCGATATTTCAAAGTCGATCTGAAAATCAACGTAATCCTGCAAAAACGAGAAGTAAAAAATTAGTTTTACGATGTAAACATTTCCTTTATGAACACAGAATGGCATTTTTACGACTAGCCTGTCAATTATATTTAAATTTATTAGTCCCCGGGCGGCCTAGCAGCATGTGATTTCATGAAAACTTTGTTATTACGACGTCCCCAATGGTGAAATCAAGCAAAATCTTATTTCACTTCCTGAACCGCATCTTAATCATGTCAAAGGAGTTAAGAATATCATAAATTCCCAGAAAACTGTTTTTGAATCTATACTCAGACCGCAGGCTGTTGGCAAACTGCCATACGTGAAACTGTAGTATTTCATAGAGGATATTTCAATGTAAACTCCACTAAAATACCATTCTTAGATGTTATTTTGTTTAAAAATCCATATTTTCTCAGCAATTTGCATGGAAAGGCATTCTGTAAACCAAAAAACGAAGTTTACTAAATAACAACCATTTTTGACTATCTCGGGATTTTGCACTTTTCGAAAGAAAATTCATTTCTTAACAAAGTGACATTGCCTTTAATATTTCTTTTATATCTTCGATTCTTCTAAATTTGCGTTTTATTAACATAGATATTGGATGCACTGATTGGTGTCGGGGTGTGAGCGATTGGCAGTCATTCGTGAATTCCGACACCTTTCATGAGTTAATTAACCTGCTGCACTCAGCCACAGCAATTTTTGCACTATAAAGATAATTACATGGAGGTGGAGCGGGATGACGCGAGAGGTGTTTGGGAAATAGGAAGTGGGCTTTGGAATTGGCATTTATGCGCCGTTTTTCAGTCAACCTATTCATCTCAAGTAGACGTAAATGGCATAGAATGGTCTCAGGGTTAAGCATTGATCGCAAGGACAACATTACCAATCTGACTGAGTGGGGCGGCTCATATTATTCAATTTTACAATCCAACTTTTGTGGCCTTGCTCTGCTCCTAACCCTGACGATGGACTGAGGGGGGGGGGAAGGTTCTGGTGTCGCAGAATAACAAACGCATTTTCGTGCTGCAATAGAGATATTTATTATTTTTCAGCAAAAGTGATCTTCATTGATGTTTTTATTGAGACGCTCATATAAAAGGCAGGCGTAAGATGTTT